GCAAAAGTGTGTTTCTGAGGTAAAATATTAACTACAATTATATGATGTATTTTTTGGATACTGTCTTGAGTTCAAATGTCTAGGAATCCAAACTAGTATGATTAGAATAACTGTTTTGTAAGCTACAAATATAACTAGCTAAATATGGGTCAAGCTAGCAACCAGCAGGTTCACAGGGGGTGGAAGCAAGACTGGTGGTCCTGGGACGGTTGTAACATGGGACATTTACAATGATGGCTCATTTGCTTGAATGATCAATTGTTCATTCAAACATACAGTTGTATTGTTGGTAGGTGTGCATTGTCCCTGTAAAAATAAACAGAATATAATACTGTACAGTAGGCCTAAAGTGTGTGCGTGTGTTTACAGTATGCCAAATGTCAGAAAGAGGAAGACAGACAGGGGAGTGCCACTTGCTCTGCTGCAGAAGGCCTCAAATTAAGTTGAGAAGGGCAAATCATTCAGGGAAGTGGCAAAGTCCCTGGATATATGCCATGTCACCCTGTACCGGTTCCATAAAAAGAGGCTGAGGTTGGAGAGTCAGGGATCACAAACACCCCCAAGAGTAGGCTACTAGACACCAAAGAAGGTGTTCTCAACAGAGCAGGAGATGCTTTTGAGAGACTACCTGATGGAGGCAGCTGATTTATATTATGGTCTCAGCTCAAAGGAGGTAGGTCTACATAATTAAGGTAGAAGCACTCAGAGAACAGTTTAATCCTTCACAGAGGATGATGCTGTGTGTGTTATCTGTTATCCTGTTCATTGCTCATTGTTTGTTGGGGGCCAGGGGCGGACTGGGACTACAAATCAGCCCGGAACTCTCGACCGGCCCACCGCGGTACCGCCGGCCCACCACGGTACCGCTAGTAAATACCGCTAGTAAATTGTCGACGGAGGGGGGGTGCTAGTGACTTACCGCAGAGGTAGACATTAAGGGTAAAATGCCACTGGCCCTCCGGGCCGGTGGAATTGTATTATCACTGGCCCCACCATTGTAACCACTGGCCCGGAGCATTCGTCCAAAGAAAAAAACGACTAATAATGAAGAAAATCAACACATTTGTTGCAATAGTAATTCATGCACTAACTACATTACTACTTGTAGGCCTACTACAACATTTTAATCATCAGTTCTTCCTCATTTTCCTCAATTGTTCATATTTGGTTTATTATAATAATAATATTGTGGTCATTGTTAAAAAATGTCTGCTATTATTATGAGTATTATTATTTGTATAATGCGCGTTCTGCCTTCCTGTCATTAGGAGTTAGACATGTAATGGATATGTAATTGATTTGATTAGAACCTTCATTATCCTAAACTGCTGGGACATTTCACCAATACCTTTATATTGTCTACTCTTCACTTACTGTCAGCATAGGTCGGCATTGATGTACAGAGCCGACAGAAGACCTTGTTTATATTGGCATCATATGGTGCAGCCAGTGATGCGTCCTAAAACCAGGAAGTAAGCTGCTGGTTCCCTCCACAAAAAGCAATGGGATTTCTCCACAGGGTTTTGGAAAATAGCTGGAAATAAGGTCTGTGGAAAACAAACCTGTTTGATAAATGCACGTTTTGTTCAGCCGGATAATCTCCACATGTCTACCCTACTTTTATAATTTTCGAATTATAAATCTAATCGATAGATTATAAAAGGGTTTTAGGATGCGTCACTGCACCACTAGAAGCCAACTCCATCGATCAAGCTGGCTGAAACTTTCTCTCCCTCTTCTTCTCATGCTCCTCCTTTAACTCCTCCGGTGACTTTCTTTTATTTGAAGATTGTTTTTTGCCCGGCTACCACTGGTATTAAAAACATTTTGGCGAATGGTTAGGTGGCGCGATAGTCTGTAGTGAAGGAGCGCGCTCCCGCTCACGGGATCCTGCTCGCGCTGCGCTCCGCAGCAAACAGCTGTTTGCTTTTCACCCAACAACGACAACCGACTCACGGAACGCTATGTTGTAGCGTTGATAAACGAAACAATGTAACTAAATTGCTAGTCAAAATACCAATACCACAGGACATTTTTTTTAAAGCAATATTTTTAGTGGCCCGAGCGGGCAAGTGGAAAGTACGTTATGCTGGCCCGGGGTGCCTTAATAGTGCTTCCGGGCCATTTAATGTCGAGCCCTGCCGGTTACCGGCCGGCCCACATCGTCTGACCGGCCCACTTCAATACCGGTCCCATCGGGATTCGTCCCGAACGTCCCGATGGCCAGTCCGCCCCCATTCAAATCTTGTTGCTTTAGAATTTGACAGCTTTCCCTATGTGTTGTCATGTAGTGTGAAAAAGGTAACCGTTATTAACATGTTACAACCGTGCCTGGCATGTGTTACAACTTACAACTGTCCCTGTACACAAGGACAGTTGTAACAGTTGAGTTTAAAAAAAAAAAATACATTTTCCAACCTGTACTTATTTCATAAAAACATCTTAAATACATTGTTTCAGTAGCTGACATATTGATAATGTATAATATAGCAAAATGGCTATCCTATTGTAAATGTTTTTTTATTTATTGGGGAAAAACCCAAAAAGTGTTGCAACTGTCCCTGGTCTCCCCTACTTTCCACTTGCCCGCTCGGGCCACTAAAAATATTGCTTTAAAAAAAATGTCCTGTGGTATTGGTATTTTGACTAGCAATTTAGTTAAATTGTTTCGTTTATCAACGCTACAACATAGCGTTCCGTGAGTCGGTTGTCGTTGTTGGGGGGAAAGCAAACAGCTGTTTGCTGCGGAGCACAGCGCGAGCAGGCTCCCGTGAGCGGGAGCGCGCTCCTTCAGACTATCGCGTCACCTAACCATTCACCAAAATGTTTTTAATACCAGCGGTAGCCGGGCAAAAAACAATCTTCAAATAAAAGAAAGTCACCGGAGGAGTTAAAGGAGAGTGACAGGGAGCATGAGAAGAAGAGGGAGAGAAAGTTTCAGCCAGCTTGATCGATGGAGTTGGCTTCTAGCTTACTTCCTGGTTTTAGGACGCGTCACTGGCTGCACCTCTCAATATCATGCCAATATAAACAAGGTCTTCTGTCGGCTCTGTACATCAATGCCGACCTATGCTGACAAGTAAGTGAAGAGTAGACAATATAAAGGTATTGGCGAAATGTCCCAGCAGTTTAGGATAATGAAGGTTCTAATCTAATCTATTACATAGCCATTACATGTCTAACTCCTAATGACAGGAAGGCAGAAAGTGCATTATACAAATAATAATACTCATAATAATAGCAGACATTTTTTTTAAATGACCACAATATCATTATTTTAATAAATCAAATATGAACAATTGAGGGAAATGAGGAAGAACTGATGATTCAAATGTTGTAGTACAAGCAGTAATGTAGTTAGTGCATAAATTAGGCTACTATTGCAACAAATGTGTTACTTTAATTCATTATTAGTCAATTTTGTTTGGTGGACGAATGCTCCGGGCCAGTGGTTACAATGGTGGGGCCAGTGATAATACAATTCCACCGGCCCGGAGGGCCAGTGGCATTTTACCCTTAATGTCTACCCCTGGTTGAGCTTGGTGATAATGAAAGGAGCATTCTGGAAGTTAGGGAGGCCATATCAGGATGTTCTCAGTTCAACTGAGTTGAAGGTCATACTGAGGACAACAAAGCATACATCTTTTGGCTGGAACAATGCCAGTGGTTTGCCAAACAATATTTAAAATGGACTAAGGTTGAGAGCTTGATTAATTAGTTATTATATTTTAAAATGTATTTTTTCAATGTGTAATTTTGTAGTTTTCTGGGCGATAAGTTAGTATTCATTATGAAGAAATAATGTCTCTGTTCAGTGCATTAAATGTGTAGAACTTCGATCCAATTAGAAAACCTATGGCTAAGACAATTATTTGTTTACCTTTGCTAGGCATTAGTTCAATGAAATCCATTTGCAGGTGATCCATTTATTTTTATCTTGGCCTAAAATATTAGTTTTACAACCCGTATGGGGGTTTAAGTCCCCTACGTGTATTGGGGTTTAAGCCCCCCCCCCCCGTAGGTGGTTACATATTATACTCACTTACTTTAATAATATCATTGTGTGATTCTTATTTGCTAATGTTTATCTATATTTACTACTTCTCACACATCTTAGCTAAGCTTGGGAACATTCCTTATTAAGATTTGTTGCAGTGTAGTTAGTTACAGTCTATGTGCACCAACAGTATGACCTTCAACTCAGGTGAACTCACAACTTCCTGATATGGCCTCCCTAACTTCCAGAATGCTCCTTTCATTATCACCAAGCTCAACCCCTCCCTTTCGATATATTATACTTTTTATTTCACTTGATTTTACTGACGGTCAAGCTACACTATAGAAATTAAGATCTCTGCATACTAAATATACTGTCTATGCACATCAAGTGTTTTATTATCACCCGACAGCCAATACATGTACAGCTTAAACTCTCTTAATAATTTAAGTCATCTTTCACATCTTTCCTTCTTATAATTTCCATTTATTTCTAACGATTGGGAATTTTACACTATTGCCTGGACACAATATTTGAAGGGTGACACATTGAGCTATGAGAACCTCTGGTTGTCTGATTATCTAACCAAACATTCTATTTATAGAGAAAATATTAAGCCTTAATCATGGAAATACCTAATAGGTCTGTCTTTAAATTCATAGGGGTTGTTCAATCATCTTTATTACCTTTTTGTAGCTAAAGTTTTGTTGTATTGCATGAAGACATTATGTTAGCCATTCCATGTTACAATTACATCAGTAGTATTTTGAATAGAATGGCTAATTGTAATACTTCTCACCTATCATGCAATAATAATAATAAACACACACTGCTAGAGATTACATTTAAGTGAGATGTACTTTGATATAAACATACTATATATTTTTTTGGAACTTGCCTAAGTATTGTTGCAATAATAGACATTTTGCATTAACCACAGCCAAGCATATCTGAACAGATGTAAGAGAGATTGTGTCATTTCATTCAATAAATGCAGACATTGTTATAAAACATTTGTGCTACAGAATAGTTTTATTCAGAGATACTTTTCTCTGATATTCTAGAAAACAGTCAAGAAAACAAGATGGAATGAAGATCACAACTCATTGCCCAAATACCAAACAAAAGTTAGATGTACAAGTAGCCACAAATGCAACCCTTTCACAGATCTGTAGATACAGTGCAAATATAAATCATTGAATCCAGTAAATAGCTGGGTTTGTTCTTACTGACAGTTCTGTAAATAAAGAAGCATCAAGCATATGAATTTGCTTTCATATCTAACAAAGTCCACCCAACAGTCCTTGAGAAAATGCCAGCTTATTACAATAGCTTATTCACTGGGATAATATTGACTCTGCTAGAGAAAACAAGCATTAGCCAAAAGCCCTGCACACGGCAAAAGTTAGTTTTGCAGAAAACAGAAATGATTGCAATCCAACATATCATTTGAACAATGTATGTAACACAGTGAAATGTCATCTTGGAAAATGATACAACTCAATAAACTTCATAAAGTATATGCTCGTTATGGCAACCAGACATTAATCTGATAAATTAAGTTCTGTTATTGTGGATATTTAGCAGAATCTATTATATTATTAAGTTGGGATGCACCAATATATCATAAGACTGGCAAATAAAAGCTTTAAAAAGCTTGTTTTTCTGCTGTCAAAATAATAAAAGAAAACAAGCCAACATGGTCTCTAGAAGACACTTGATTATCTTGATGATTCTTCACCTGCATTAAGATAGAGACACATGGACATTGGAATTGGCTAATATATTAAAAAAATCAGCCAAATAAGACGAAAACAAAATATTTAAAACACAACAACATATTGGTGCACCCTGTTAAGCAAAAGAAAAATTTAAAAAATCTGAAAGTTCAAGTAAAGAGTTTGAGTTAGCATTACCTTAATACTTTATATAATGCTGGGCTAAAGTTAGGTTTTACCTCTACAACCTTACCTCTACAACCTCACCTCTACAACCTCACCTCTACAACCTCACCTCTACAATTCACTCCTCTACAAACTACTCAATAAAAGTGCTTTGGCAAATATTCAAGTCTTTTCACAACACATACAGGGGAATAATACAATTGCTTGTATGAAGCTGCACTGTATAAAACAAATGAGTTTGTATTTGATGTCTTCACAACAATGGCAGTCCATTTTAACATTTATTCCGAAAGTTTCACAAGGCACTTTAGCATTCCTTTCTTAGCAATCTAATAAAGTATTGTTTTATTGGGCATCATTTATCTGTCAGCTGATAAAAGTTATAATTTAGTCTAAAATAGGCACTTATTTGTCTTTTATTTTCAAAAAAAAATGGAACTCGTTTGTTCTGGTTAATTTTACATTAAAATCTGATTTTTCTATCAATTTAAAAATGTTTTAATAATTACAATTATAAAACAATAAAAGTGGTATGAAATATGTTTATCTATAGTGCATCACCTGAATAAAATGGAAGTATATTTCCTTCAGAAAAAAACAAGATGTCACTAGTCAGAGACGATGACCAGTAACATTAAAGGAGGCACTACACTCTTAGTAGCTGTTACAACAATACATTGAAAAGTGCTCATTTCTTAGGAACTTGTGATTAGCAGGAACTCATAGTGAGTAGCGTAGTCTTATCTTAGTGACAAGTGAAGCTGACAAAACTAATATTAAAATGGTCGCCATTTACAATAGGACTGTATGTTGCAATTATTAAGTGTACAGAGTACAAAAACTACCTAAGTGTCAGCAGACAATCTCTGAGCTAAAGTATGATAACTACTTTCTGTGTTCTGTTGATTAGCAGTTCCCTAACTCTTATTGTGTGAAATGTTCTGTAAGCCTTTATATCTAGCCTCTGTATTATGCTTCTGCAGTGCATCACGATTTGAAAGGCCATCTTTTCTCAGGTCAGCATGCAAGGGAACATACAGAGCATGTATTCAGACTCAGTGGTCTTTGCAGAACTCTTTGTGACAAAAACTACAAAAGCTCTCCAGGGACCCCAGAACCTTCTGTTCTGCACTGGGTTTGTCCCCCTCCCCAAAAAAACGGTTCAATCTTTTTTATGGGAGCCTTGACTGGTAAAAGGAAGCCATGTGAGATTCTGCAGAGTCCTCCAGCCACCAGGGGATAGCGAGAAGTGAAAAAGAAGATGTTAATCGGCATGTGGGAGCACCACGGGTGCCCAGGCATCACGAAGACTGTGTTAAATGTAGTCTTGAAGAGCCTTTAAGGGAGAAATATCCGCCTTATTCTAACAGGTCCTGTGGAGAAACACAAACAAGGCTTATAAGGGAGGAAGATAATCACAAAGAAGAACTGAAAAAGTAATTTGACACAGAACCAGATACCTGATCTGAGTCTTCATTGTACTGTGCTTTTCCTGTCTCCATGTAGTGTGTGTCAATATCATCGACTCCTTCTATTTTATCAGCCTCAACATTCTCTCTCATGACAGAGTATCGATGCACGAGGAACCTGGTGAGGACATGAGTAACAAACAGAGATGAAATACAGTGTTCATTTATTTTTGTGCAGAAATATGTAACATATTTAACTGACCGTCCCCCGCAGACATATTTCTTAACCAGCCAAACGCCTGCAACAGCACTCGACAGAAGCATCGCTATGACAACCATCACTATGACAGCAGTGTTCGGTGAACTGTCTTCAGTCTGTAACGAGTTGCACAAACGTGAAGAAAGGCGTGAAGAAATGACATGCGAAAAACTTGAAAATCATTTTCACTTCATGTCTCTCAGCTTAGAGAAGAGACTGTAATATTCCTCAAATAAATACATCAAACATGATCGGGTCGTGCCACACCCCTACTAGGTAACTAACACATGCCTTCAGTGTTCACCATGACAAAGATCAGAGGTTCCCCTTTTGATTCTCAGGCCCTAACCCATCCCAATGTTAACTAGGTAGATACGGTTTTTCTAGCCTACCTAGTATTTTTCTCAGAAGAAGCTAAACTGACCAGAGAGTTTGGAGAAAGGACGTTGCTGGTGCACATCCTCCCCAGGTCTGTCTCCTTCCTGTCGGGCTGAAAACCTCCCTCACACTGGTCTCCTGGAACCTTCCGGTAGCTTCAATTTAAGAAGAGACAGAGAGACACGTCAGGCAAGACAAAGTGCAAAGAAAATTACACAGGGCAGGACAAGACAGCAGGTAGACTAAACATAAGATTCTTAACACTAATGAAGAAAAATAGAAGCATACTAAGATGTTTTGGGAAGTTTGTTATAGTTTCTTTAAAACCCTATACTTAATTGTGTCCACTATAGAGTGCTGCAGGGACAGTATCATTTTCTTATTCCATTGGATTATTTAATCAAATAAGCTCTTTGGTAAATGATACTTACACTTTAGCAAGATTAACACCACTTGTTTGATTTTTGCAGTGGAATTGGAATTGGCTTGGGCATTTCAAATGCTAACTGTGTTAAGGACTTGTTTCTGCATTAGTGACTTAACTAAGGAACCCTTTATTATGTTGCTTCATGAACCTTGTATTTATTGTATGTACGATGTAGTTATTCTTGAACTACATTGTCATAGAACAACACTAATAATCTGTAGCAGGCTCCTGGAAGTGAAGTGGAGAGGTCAACATACAAGGTTATATTTACGGCTGAGGAAAGAGAGAGTAAGATAAAAACAGGCCTCCTCACCCGCTGGTCTGAAGCTGTTCGGTGGTCCCATTTAAACAAAACTCCAGAGGGTGACCCTTCAGCTCCTCCTGCTCCACACACTCTGAGCTGTTCTGTGGCCGGTAATATCCAAAGTCACTGTGAGACAAGAAATTGACAGACACGATAAATATGTTTCCATTATTCTTACGGTTACACTAAGATGGCATTATAAATGTGTGCTATTTTACAAAAACATACCAGTGATAATCCTCTATTGTACACGGACAGGGAGACAGCTTCTTAGTGACGGCATAGTCCCTCCCGTTCCAGCAGACAGAGTCTTTCCTCAGGCGTAGGAAGGTTTCCTTATAGCCCAGCACACAGCCATCATGTGATCCACTGGGGTCTGCAGAGTGAGCCAGCCACTGCACATAGTCCCTCTCAGTGCCTGCACATGTACACAAGCACTGAGTTAGTCAAGAGGTAAAACCCTTTCTGTTAAACCCTCATTGTCCCACATACTCACAGTCTCTGGTGAGGATCTTCCTGTAGTCTATGGTGATCACCACCCATTTGCTGAAGTCGTTCCTGTAGCCCCACAGGCTGACGTTCATGGAGCGGGAGCCGGGCTCGCTGTCCATGCCGCTGAAGTGGAGCGGGTCGCTGGTGAAGTTATACGTATGCCAACACTGCCCCTCATCTGTGGAAAACCTGAGGGTGTGAGAGGCAAAATTGTCATTCTGTCATGACCCGTTAAATAAATACATTACTGTTACAATGCTTTGTGAGTTGTTCTTGCATTCATTTATTGATGTTTATTTCACTTTAATTAAAGCAAACAATGACTATATACTTGTTAAGCATTATATCTGCCTATACCTCAGAATAGTTATTAGATAATGATTGTAAAAATAATTATATATATAGTATACGTTATATTAATATTGCTATGAGAAATATAATAAACTATGACCCTTAAAAGTATTATGACTTTATCTTGTAATACATTACAAATGCTTGAGAAGGTGTTATGATGGATAAGTATTTGAATATTTAGGAATGATATCACTTTTATTATACATGTGCTAAAAGAAGATTATAATGCTTTACGTATATATTTAATGCAGTATATACATGGCATTCATAAAAAGTGCTACCAACGATACTAAAATAAACTAATTGTGTAGGTATATTCACTTTATCTGGTTGACAGGAGCGTTGGTTTGTTCCACAGCCACCAGCAGCCCCCCAGAGTCCATTATAGCGTAATGGTGGGGGCCTCTGAGAGCCAACATCCAGGAGTAGCCCCCGTCATCAGACACGTACACATCAGGTGAGAGAGAGGACACTTCATCCCCAACACTGCCTGAGGAAACGCAGGACAATGGTGTAAGTAAACATCTCACCATGCAGTAAAAAGTATTTATTTGTATTTATTTACCATGGGCAAGAATGATGCCCACAGCACTGGATTGTGAGAGAGGCAGCATGGGGACGTTCATCATCATGGTGATGCTGTAGGCTGCGTGGATGAGGAGTCTGCACTGTAAACACATGATTATGTGTTGGTACCAAGTCCACATGAAGACACTCATATTTTCTTATGCTAAAATTCCATAGAAACAAGAAACAGAACTGATCTCATACAATAACAAGACTCAAACAGGTAAGTGAACAAATGAAACACTCCAGAAGTAATGAGAAATACTCAATGATAAAAACTGAATATATTTAAATGATGCATGAATGTTTGTCTCACTCTGTTAGGCCTGTTGGTCGAGGTCTCGTTGTCACAGTGGCTGTTCTGTGGTCTGCGCAGCGTCTGCCATTTTGCTCCCTGGTCAAAGGTGATCACTGTCTCCATTGCACCATCTGCAGTCAATAACATTCAGTTCAGTTCAGGATCCACATGGGTACACAACTATCTAACCACATTTTCAAAAACATTTTCTCAATCCGTGGACTCATACCTTGCCTTCTATGTAGCAACTGTTCTTAGTTTATCCTACTATGGTGAGAGAATGAAAAATCTACTAAATCAACCAATCGAAAATCTGTTTGGCATCAATGGCAGTGAACATTTAGTCGACTTTATCTTAAATGATAAGGTTTAGTAAGGACTCATTACATAATGAGTTCAAGGAAGGATTCTAAATTTAGGATGCCAAAAAAACAAAACGGTATTCACAATCAACGCTATAAAAACACCCAATAAAATAGCCACAATGGAAAGCAGTTTGTGTTGGGTTGAAATGTTTTGTTGTTGTTTTTTTGGCATGTATACCGGATTTGCCACCCAATAGCATGGATCAAAGGTGGAATAAAGTTACATTGTTGTATAGTATAATAAGTCACTGTCTAAAAAGTATGAAATATATTTGTGGATAAGAAACATCAGATGGTTTACTAACTTTAACAAACATACTATTACATCATCACTGTGATGTTCCAGTGTGGCGAGGAGACATTAAGAGCCAAATTGGAAGAGCAATTCTTAAAATGAAAATAAATGATATCATATTTCAAAATGTTGACAAAAAGGTACCCGAAGACTCGTCTTAAATGTGTAAGTACATATAACTCGGTGTGCTGACTCACCCTCTGAGAGAACGCTGGTCATGTAGACGCCCCTGAGTGAAGAGATGGCGGTGAAGTCGGTTTCGCTTCCTGTGGTTGTGTAAAGATGGCGCTCCAGAGACTTGGAGAAAACAGCTCCTCTGTCATCTGACACATAGATGGTTCCAACACCTGAGTCTGATCGAGCACACACACACACACACACACACACACACACACACACACACACACACACACACACACACACACACACACACACACACACACACACACACACACACACACACACACACACACACACACACACACACACACACACACCACACACACACACACACACACACACACACACACACACACACACACACACACACACACACACACACACACACACACACACACACACACACACACACACACACATTTTGTATGACAGCCCCTAGGCTCCTGCTTGAGGACGCCTGCAGAGAAACGTTCTGCAGCTTGGAGGTATTTTTCAAGGACATCTAATGAGAGTTTAAATGGAGGTTATTTTGCATTATCAACGCTCTAGTTAACCATTAGCATCATCATCCACATCAATCATCACTATCAGCAGCATCCTCACTGGTTCTGACCTCCAGGGTCGTCCACATGCATGAATATCATGTCCTGATTGGATGCCAGGATGGAGTAGAACTGCTCGTGGTTGACTGTAGGAAGCTGAGCCATGTTCCACACTTTACCTCCGTCCACCGACACGTGGATCTTACGCTGTGTCCCCTAACACACACACACACACACACACACACACACACACACACACACACACACACACACACACACACACACACACACACACACACACACACACACACACACACACACACACACACACACACACACACACACACACACACACACACACACACACACACACACACACACACACACACACACACACACACACACACACACAACACACACACACACACACACACACACACACACACACACACACACACACACACACACACACACACACACATTAGAGCCAAAGATAGCAATGCCATAGACAGGGTTCATTCTGATTTAATCACATTTTTTTAGCCAGGGAAAAATTGATAGCTACAGTAACAACATTGAGCTTTAGCGCTGTACCTTTAGCTCGTAAAAAGAGACAACGGTATGTTCGGGTAAATATCCTTATTCGTTAGTATGTGATCACGCGGTATGGATTTAATTCATAATTAGCTGTGAACTGATCACAATATGAGTTAAACTACCTCCAGTTGAGGCCTGGCTGAATCAATCATATTCTGAACAAACACTGCCATAAGACATGTTTTGCTTATCTAAATACAAATAGCATGTTAACACCATTTGTGATTAGAGTCCACAAAGGCTAGATTCTGCATGTTTTTATGATTGTTATATGGGTTAACTGGCCCTTTGAGTCATTATTTCGAAACATTTACTTGCAGAGAGACACACACATACCTTGCCAGTCATGATAGAGGCAAAAACAAAGCGCCCCCCCAGTACGAAGGAGAAAACTCTGGTTGCAATGGTTTGGAAACTTCGACCATAATCTGCTGTCTTCTTTAACTCCAGCATTCCTTTACCTTCTAACAGGAAGAAAGAGGAATTACTACATGTAACGCAGGATTTTAAATAGACATGTGAATAAACTGTGTTCACTTACTGCATGATCCATTGTAGTTTGTTGTAAAGTAGATGCTGTTTTTTGGACCCCTATATTTGAGAAAAATTAAGAAACAGTAAAGGAGTGAATCTGTAGAAAGATCTAATTGTGCTTTTTTTTTTACTTCAAGAGTTCTCGGAGTTCAAATGTAAATGACTTTGAGAAATGATAGAGATCATAGATTATGGTTGTGGTTTTTTCGAAGTGCTTTGCTAGCGGTGCAAACATCAAACCCTCCCGGGCTGAGCTCCAACCAATCTGTCTTTGTTCGCTGCCAAAGGGGACGAAGGTTTTCACACTGCAGAGATTCTGCCGGTTAGAGGACTGTGGGCTGAATAAGAATGCCTTCGCTGACTCATGATTCACTCTGACTGCAGCCTCAGCTCCCTCTCTCTGCTGTCAATTTAGGTCGGGGTTTAAATAACAGCTGTGGTCACGCAGAGACATGATGTTCCCACAATGCAGCGCTCACAACCACAGGCTGACACCACCACTACCCCATGTGAACTTGAGGTGTCCAAAAGCAATGAAAGCAGGAGAGTGATCCAAACTGTGGTGAGAAAAACAGCTGGAATAACAGAAATGGACAAATAAAAACACACACAAACACGGAGGCTGTGTGGAGACAAATATGCAGTTTCACACCATGTCAGAGTTTCAGGACCCACTTATAACACAGTTTATATTTCACTCTGTACTAATCACACATCAATTACTGACTTAAAGAAGTCTCTGGTTTGGGACAAAGTAAACGTGTATTCAAGTATTACATTATATAGGATTAAGAGGAGGAGTGGGATCAGAAAACAAGATGTTATGTACTCTTGTCTTTTACTTAAGGAGGGCAGCCTGACCCATGTTCTTAAATTGTTCTATCTGGATTTACAGTTTATGGATTTACTGCTGTGTGTGCGCCATGGAACATAAATATATGATTTTCCATATAGTACACCAATAAAGTCTCTGCTTCAGGGCTTTATTTAGTAGTAGCTATGATGACGTAAATCATCAGGTTGTCAAGGGAGAGGGAAAAAATGAATACCAATAACTAACTGCCAATGACTAATAAGTAATAGTATTTAAAACACATGGTCCAAGCCCCCAACCCAATAATTCGTATCCCTATTGTTTAGTCTGGGTTCTTCAGTATGCCATCTGTAACATATTTAGACTGACAGATTATGTAAAGGAGAATTCTCACCATCTGACCAAACAAACACCGTCATGGATTTTTCTCCAGGTGGCGCCAAAGTCCTCCGACAGCCACAGGTCCGACTGCAGGGAAAAGGCTCAGTTAGTAAAGACTTTTGTGTTAGGACTTTTTGATAATATTGTTGATTAAGAAGAAGTCCACCATGTAATTATGAAACGTGATTAAGTTATAAACTCAAATCGATTTGGTTTGGTCTAAAGATTGAAAGCTGCTACCATGACACTGAGCGTCACAAGTGTGTTGCAGTCTCCGGGGTTGTACAGCATCTGAATGAGGGGCTCAAACGGCAGGTCGGTTGGAACAAAGGTCAAGCCAAAGTCCTGAGAGCGAAACAGTTTAAACCCGCCGATGTCTGACACATCTCCAGTGAGAATCACCTGAAACCAAACACAGAGATGAAATGTCCATCATACACTAATAACATAACATTAGACTTATAATTTCCTGTGTTATTACAAGACCAACACACAAACCACCATGTAAGTTAAGCTCCATAATGTGAACATTTCGGCTCACCTTGCCAGAGTGGTCAGGACTGATGGCGAAGCCGAACTCGCTCTGGATGAAGGTGTGGTTGATCAGGTGCGTCACATCTTTGAACGTCTTCCCATAGTCTTCACTGACACAGGGACAACGTTGCAGTTAGACCCTCTGACCGACCACAGCTATGACTAATAATTAACTGCTACATTTCCACTGGGTATTTCTCACCTCTTGTAGAGATTGGACTGGCCAAAACGCATCATGAACAACGGCACCTGGAATGTGGTCAACACCAGCAGGACCTGGGAGAAGAAGCAGGATAACACAACAGTCTCTGCAACATATTCGTATATTTAATTCAAACATTCATGTAAACAAACTCACCCCGGAACCGTCTCCCACCCAGGCCAGTGACAGTGAACCCATGGTGCTCACTTTGAAGGTGAACTGTAATGAAAGGAAAAAAGCGAGTTTTTAGGAAACAATCAATCTGAGTAATTCTTGCGTAATGGTCCTTGACTATGATTATTTCAAATATTTCAGGCACATGGTATTTGTTTAATATTCACTCAGGAAATCGACTGAAGGAAATTCACACTCAAGAGTACACAGTTTAGTCTTAAACAAAACATAAGAGAGTTTGTGTGTGTGTGTGTGTTTCTGTCCCGCGCTGAACAAGAGGACAGAATGCATTGTTTTTATTGTCCAAAGTAACTCGGCCAGTTGGATGCACTCTGCATGTGTGACCTACATTCCCGCCTAATGACAAAGCCGAGGCCAGAGAACAAAACAATCACCCGTGGCCCGAGCACAGCGAGAACACACACACAGACACACACACACATTTAAACACTTGCTCAAACGCATACAGTGACTGAAAGTATTTGTATTCTGTGTGAAAAAAATACATGTATGACTCTACGGACTGGTGTCCTACGGTTTAAGTTTAAGTTTTTACTTAAAATGTTTATTTATGTCAATCAAGGGAAAGTTCAATTTACACGCAATATTCCGCTATTAGGATCTGAGTGGTGCTAATAAGAAAGGCATTTGTTTTTAAGTGGTGTTTCCAAGTATCTAAAGATTATACAATACATAAACAAACACCATAAAGAATTCACTTGAGACAATACAAACTAAGGCCTCATTTTTAGACAAATTAATGCAATGCCTTCAAGACTTTTTAAGCCTCAGCTGGATCCTTGTGCAGAAGATTTGTTATTCAATAACACATTTTAAAAACAAAACCTCAGTGTTACGTATTAGTAGATGTCATTTGAGGAAAGAGTTCTGTCCTGAACTTTTATTTCACAACAAGTGCACTGACTGCCAGATTCCAGTCTGTTCACCCAGAGTGACATTCAAGGGTTTGGTCATTTCAGCAACATATTTAGCCACCAAAGGTTTCTCCCCTCCTGTCTTTCTCTGGCAGGGCAGAGATGTTTACAAGGTGAGCCGAGCCCCGGAGTGTCTGCACACCGCTCTATAAAGCCACAGGAGACGGCCAGGTCTGGCTGCTGGAAACTCCTTGTAAACAGGTCCAGTGGAAACTGTCCAGCCGCGAATATCCGAATGTGTGAACACAACTTTCCATCTATTCTCTACATAAATCACTTCATCACCACCTCGCCTGCATCACACTATTCTTTAATCTCCATCAGTTTATTGCTTGACAACTTAACCTCCTCTTTTTGCAGTAATTTAGTCAATCTGGTCTTCAGTTAGAAAATGTTAAGCATGACGAGTCCTGTCCTCCAAACAGTCAATAAGCCAATAAATCAGTGTTTTGGCTTCAAATCTTTCAGGGAATATTGTTTCTTGTCAGTTTGATCCATTTCCCTGTATTCCTGCTTTTCTCTGTTTCCATGTAATAAAAGTGATTATAGTGAAATAAAAGTCATTTTAAAGTAAAGGGCTATTATGGGTTTTAGAGATGGGTGAAACATCGAAGTTATGGTCATACTTGAGGTTTAAGCGGGACTTAACGGATTCACAAAAGTCCACTTTTTCTCATAATATGTAATGACGTTAAGAAGAGATCAATAAATACTTCTCTGTCCTCCCATCTTAACATGCAAACCGGCTTTGATTCATAATTATAATCATTAACAACCATATCAATACTACTATTGCAATAATCACAACATTAGTGTGACAGAACCATAAAAACTAGTTTCATATAATAAAGTAAGCCATTTCATGGTCTTAGCCTGATTATCTGTGCTTTATAATGACAACTAATATATATATACGACTGGGTGGTTAAACCCATTTTGTTTGTTGTAAGTACAGTGAAAGCAAGGATTTCAAAACTCACTGATTTGAATTATTCTCAACACAATTAAAATACATTTACTAAGAGTCAGCTTTTGTTTCAGGGAACAAATATCTGTCAGCAAGACCAAAACAAATACTGTATAAGTTCTTATTATAACTTTACGAAGAAGTGTCATACCATTCAAATTATATTCTATTTTAATTAGGGAGCACAAACATGAAACAATTATTGGTCAAAAATAAGAGCCTACAGCCACGTTTGCAGAACTATGATCCTGTAGTTTGTGTACACTTTGTGCTACACGCAAACGTCAGCATGCTATCATTCTTACAATGCTACATGTTTAGTCGATGTATCATCAACCCCATGTACCTTTGCATTTGAGCTGTTTAGCATGGTAAAGTGTGCTAGCTAGACAACACAAAGAACATCTAATAATGATGGAGGTGTATTTATGTCAAAAAAGTGACTACTGGCTGATGTATCGGAAAGGTCAAAAACGAGTATCAAAAACATGCTCTACAAATATTGTATAACCCCTACTCTGCAACATAGAACATTCATTTATTCTGGATGTTATCACAACGCAAATAACTCCCATGGAAAAGAAGGAAAAGCAATAAAAAAAGTTATCTTTACAAAAGTAAGAAGTGTGGTCACGTTGAGCAGAGGTCACTGCAGGTCAACAGGATGCAGGTTGTGTAATGTGGATTGTTTTAGGATCACATATTTGCAAAGGTTTCTGCCAATAGCTTGCACATCTGTATTGAATCCAATACAATCAATCCAATTGATGTTTTCCACATCTGCTCCCCTGAAACCCCTGACTAGACAAATGCTAAATGCTTCACTGAGACTGAAACCAAAACAACCAACATCATAAAAAAAAGGTCAGATGAAAAAAGGCTGTGAAAGCTGTGACTGAGTGAAAACCGCTGGAGAAGGGTTAAGCAGAACGGGAAAAGGTTATTAACCACTCGGTCCTGTTCTGTAATGGGGATAGCAGAAGCACAGAGGGAGACAGTGAAGAGAAGAAAAGACGCTTGAGTTATTAGTCAGCGAAAAGAGTGAAGAGATTAATGCCTGACCCGGCTGGCTGTGGCCTCACAAACCAGACATGACCTCATGCTGCATCACATGTTTCATTTAAGGGCTTGCTCCTTTGAGCTTCATCTGCTCAAAAGCTCATGACACTCCAGGTGTGTGTCAGTGGATCAACTTTCGAAGATGAACAGTGAAGCACGAGTGAATGTTACCCACTCTGCTGTACATGAACGCACACACACGTCCATGCAGACGCAGTCATAGCCTGTTGGTGGGTGGGAGCACAGCGAGTTCCTCTCAGAAGTCGGACGCCAGCACAATGAGCTCCTTATTCCCTCTGCTCTGGGTTTTAACCTTTCTGCTTCAGCCGTGTTTACACACACAGAACTTCAGAAGAGGAGGTCAAACTCTCTTGGCTCTGATCTAAACACATGAAGCTGTGTATACCAACCCTCTGATGCTGGGCTCAGCTGGGTAAGCTGGGCTGTATTATATACATTGTTCAAGAAATCCAGCCATGTGTTGCTCATATTAGCATTTAGTGATATATCTTTATATGCATGTTATCAAGACAAAGCACCATTGTGCCTGTGTAGAGTTTCAAGCATGACTGTAGACTCAAAGTCCTAGTTTTGTTATATTTTATACAACAAACAATTCAGTGATTAATAAAGAAAATAATTGCCTGCAGTCCTGATTACATCTACATGGATGCAGGACAGAGACAAATCTGCAAATGGTTACATCTGAGAAGCTAGAACCAGCAAAGTAATGGCATTTTTGATGATAGAAACATTTGACTTTACAAACATGTATTAGTTGTATGTATGATAATCAACTTTTAGCACTGGTGTGGATACAATTAAATGCAAACTCAGATTAAAACATACTTTATAAACTTCTACAGCTTCTAAAATTCAAGCACAATTCTACCTCACAGTGCTTCTCTATTTTCACCAGTTTGTTGCTCTCATTGGATATCTCTCCCTGTATATCAACAAACCCATACTTTCCTTAACTCTCTCTCTCTCTCTCTCTCCCCCCCTATCCCTCTCTCCCCCTATCTCTCTCTCCCCCTATCTCTCACCCACCATGTGGAACATCAACTCTGCTGCTTTTCTTGGTGCTCCCACAGCTGGCTGCCACCCATTATGCTTCACCCTGAAAACAGAACATGTTTTTTCTCTACGATCTTTCGGCCAGAGGGGATAGAGGACGGGATGGAGTGAGGAGGACAAAATAATCGTAAAGGAACAGCAAGCTAGTTTTGGAACCAGACTGCGTCAGCTAAATGAACCTTACACAAACATACAGCAAAAGAAGCTCAGGCTGGTAAACAAAACACATGCTGTGTAGACTAAGTTGATCTGGCATATATTACACCATGTATAAATAAAACAAGGAGTTACAACGACTGATGTAAACGCCTTGTCTGATCCAGCCCTGCAGCTCTGATAACAGAACATTTAAGTCCACACTGGCGCTCAGGTCGAGGCAAGCTGTAAAATCGTGGGGAATGTTTGTGAGGGAAAAAAGACCCCGAGGAGACAGGAGGGGTCTGCTCTCACGCCGGATCGTTTTCATGCTCAAAGCTAGCCCAGGTGTCTGAGGCCACAGAAATTATATAACGTACACTTCTCTCTCTCCACACACACACACACACACACACACACACACACACACACACACACACACACACACACACACACACACACACACACCACACACACAACACACACACACACCACACACACACACACACACACACACACACACACACACACACACACACACACACACACACACACACCACACACACACACACACACACACACACACACACACACACACACACACACACACACACACACACACATTCCTCTGGACATCTGGGTTGTTGTTGTTGTGCTTCCTATTACAACATGTTCTGTACTAAAATAACAGAAGGTACAATTTGGTCTATTATAATGTGGGATCATGGTTAAGATTATAAAAGAGTTCAAGTCTATAAAAAAAGGTTAAAAAACCTGAAGATGCTGGGTTTTGTACTGAGAAAACAAGGTATTTAAAGACATCTACTCAGGTTTGAGCAACTGGGAAAAACATTGTTCATTATGTTGTAAAATGTTATAGACCATACAATTAACACTAACTGTATTACACCCTATACCATTCGTCAGATGTCAGAATGGACTAATGGAAAGGACAGAGACTGACAACCTGCATTATTCAGATCAACAAAAAGCAGTGTAGTTCTTCCATCAAAACATTTGCAATATATGCTAATGTTCACTTCTTTCAGTCATTCCTAGAAGTCCATCTGTCCACAACACAAATATATTAAATTGGATTCCAGTGTACTAAAAGGAGAAGCAAAAAATCCTTACGGTGGAGGCAAATATTGACTTTATGATAGATCAACTATTAACACGGTTAGGAGGAACTACTACAAAAGTCATACAGATCGTTTACGTGTGTCTTTTAACATTACAGATGGCTTTCAAACAGAAGCATTCCCTCTGTTGCAGTATAAATGTTCATGTTATATCATCTAAAGTTATCAGGGTCTATCTGTTTGGTGGTGTAATTAATTTGAAAATGTGTGGACACTATTTGCAGCTCCATGTGACCAAAGACACATTGGAAGTAGCCTGTGAGTTTACCCCAAAAGCAGCAAGCATTAAGACGAGGCTACTTCCCCTCTTCTGAAAGTGTTATGTTGTTATGGTGGTTAAAAATAAACCTAAACAAGTCACTTACAGAGTGGGTGCTGTTCTGCAGGGTTGACTCTACTCCATGCAGGGCTGTACATGTCTGTTCATTCAGTCCAGCGCTGCGTTTCGAGAGCTCCGACTTCTCTAAACTATATCGCTCTTCGTCACTGCCAAACTCCCTCTGTAGCCTCCTCAAACCTGATAAGTTGTCTCCCTCTGTGCCCAGAGCAGACCAAAACAGTCCGAGCGCCAAAACGCCAGACACGGAGATCATGTTTACAAGAAGACTGCCCAACTTTGGACTCGCGAGAAGCTTTTCTGTCCCAACAGTTGGCTCCACATGCCCCCCTCATCACCAAATGCATCTTCAATAACGGCCCATGCACGGGGGCAGGTGATTGGTCAGTGGCAGAATAAGATGCACGCTGATTGGACGGCGGGAATCTTCCTCAACTGAGATGTCAGGGGTCTGATGGTGTGACGCTGCCCCCTGGTGGAAAGACTGCGCGGTGACCGGGAAAAGTTGTAATCTTTTTAATTGGAGAATGTATTCCTTGAATTTGAATTCCAAGAAACATAAGAAAAGCAGAACAACAAGGCTGGATTATAAGGGTTCCCAAAATGTGATTAGTTTCCCTTAGGAATATCTAAAGTATTTATGACTATGATCATCTTAGCGATTACTTTAATAGTTCCTAAACATGAAGTACTGTAATTGAGGCACAAATATAACTATTACAATTGTCCACAATAGGATCCTAAATAGTTAAGTAATTCATTACTTCAACTTCAAACTAGTTTTTATTGTATCCGTTAGTGAGTTTCCTTTATTTTAAATATTTAAACATTAATAAATTAATGTAAACGTTTTCAGAGGATAAATACACGATCGTCCAAAAAGGAAAATTAAGGAGCTAGTGAAATATACTAAAATTAAAGAAAAAAATTGCTTCATCAACTCATATATATATATATATACACATATATTTTCTTTTTAACTTTTAATGGAGGCCGTTTTTCACTTTCTTAACATCGTGATGGGTAACCACGGGATATGGGTAATTTACACTTACGTGAGCTTCTTAAACCCCTACAATATTTTTTTACTGAAAATAACTGATTCAAAAAGCTTTTTTGTTAGTAAACAAACATCCAGAACTCACTGTTGCAACCAAATACCTGTTTATGTTAACTGTAATGTGATGTTTTACAAAGAACAATACTTAGTCGAGAGGAACCATGACATAAAAACAAGAACACGAGCAAAACACAAAAAGAGTCGGACAACTTTCCGAATACAACAGTTTTATTGTACTGATTTGTAACAAAAAAATACCCCCCCCCCCCGCCCTAACTGTTTCCCTGCCGCTCAGTTGTAAGCGCTGGTCAGACTGCTGTACAGAGTTGTTCAGATACTGAGAGACAAGTTAATTAGCACGTTACAAAGAGAAACTTCTTATGCAATCCAAAAATAACCTGAATGCAGTAAGGAGAATGTGCTGATGGAAAGTTGTGGTTGTGTTGTGACATTCAGCCCAGGTGTTCCTCTCCTCTCCTGCCCAGATCTCCAACCAGGACTTTCAAGTGTTTCTGCTCTAGATATCCTTGATAACATCTTCCAGCTCCTCTTTGGAAAACATGTGGAAGGTCTTCCCGGGCTCTACTATTGCGAGCTACAGGAGAGACACAGAAAAAAAAAGCCTGCATTTAAACTTCAGGATTGACACACTCACTGTCCTCTACAAACTTAGCACTGCTCAGCATTTCATTTTTCAAACAAAACAATTATTGAAAAGGGCATTGGTAATGCGGTTTCAACTACACATTTTTAAACCCAACTTTTAAGCACCATGTCAAATTAAAATCGATTGTTAAGAACTTAGAGAGAAATTAAGAACTGACCTCAATGTTGGTGGCGTTGAGCTTCTCCTCCATCACCTGCTTCAGAATAGTGAGGGATGACTTGATGGCGTCTTTCAATGTCATGGACTGTCAGTTGGCCAGGGACAAAAAGAAAAGATACAACCCATTAATAATTTAATTAATTTCCTTTTAAACAACTTGTGCCTGTATGAAATTCAGAAAAGTTCTATATTTCAATAAAAAAATGTTTAGGCAAGTTTCCAAGTCACCCAGAAGAAAGAAGTATATCAAAATAATATTTATGCCGTCTCAACATAAACAAGCATTGGTCAGTACCTTGTGGTAGATCTCTTGCAGAGAGCTCTGTGCTCCTTCAGACGCTGAGCCGATGGCCCGAGCATCGCACTGCACAAAGGTTCCTGATGGGTCCATGTGGTACCTTCATTCATAAACAAACAACACTTAAGAATCTGTGAAGTAACTAATCTGTGAAGTAACAACTAAAAGTGACCATGTTTCTGCTGAGTCTAAAGCAAAATGCACAAATAGTAATGTATACGTACAGCTGGGGTCCTTTCTCATCAAATCCTCCGAACAGAAGTGCTACGCCGAATGGTCGACTCTGTAGATGATGGCATAGAGATACAGAGCAGAGAGAGAAGAACACGTTACGCTAGTTTACTAGAATACCACCAAACATTAAGCCGTAGAAAAACAAAACATGATTAGATTAAAGTTTGAGTAGATGAGAATTTTCACACACAAAAATAGCGCAATAGGTTAACTCTTGTTACTTTAAGTTTATCTATTTATTATGCCTGCAAAGTTTTAAATACAACATATTGTTTAAATAGTTTGCCTCCATGATTTGTAAATGTGTGACTGACCATGGCACCGGGATCAGCGTCCTCCTCTCCGAACTGCAGCGCCAGGTTGGACACGGCCTGAGTCACACTCTCCACTGTCATCGTCTCATTGTAAGTGAACCAGTGGTTCTGTGGAAGAAGATATACACAGATTATTTCATAGTTCAAACACAAAGTCAGTAAACTGCTTATAATTCAGTGTTCGTCATACCTGTGTTTCCACTCTTGCTTTGTCAATAAGAGTCTTGGCATCAGCTATCAAGCCACTCATGGCACAACCTTTTAGGAAGAAAGAAAGTAAATGAATGAACTGCCAGTCCTGTTTATCTTTAAGCCTAAAGCAACATGATCAAACACGGAGAAAAGTAACGTTATTCCCTGTTTTCTAAGGGAATAACATTATGCAAAATAAAAGATGCGTTACCCAGAGTTCCCGTTAGAATATTTTTTCGCCGGTCAACATGTCCGTTAGAGTTTAAATCTTCCGGACAAAATTTGAAAAGTGCCGGTCAAAGGTCTTCTTTGTTATTTATTGAGCTTTAAAACAAATTAATATGATTCGATTTTAAACAAACTAATAATAGTAGATTAACTACATTATTCAAAAGTGAACAGTAATTTACAATAACACGGGAATAATAAACGGAGCGCTCTCTCTCTCCTGACAGCCCGTCAGTATCATGCAGCTCGCGGATCAGTAATAGTAGTGACCCGACAGTAAAAACTAAACATATCTATAACTAGTTTAGGTAGTTTGAGAGGTCATTAAAATAGCTACGTGTGATATTCTAACCTGAAGTGTGTTTTGTCCGCTCACCGCTGCATGTGATCATGCAGAGCTGCGTGTCGACTCGTCAGCAGCAGCTGATCTCTCTCTCCCGTCAGATTAGACTTTACTCGCGTTTATGTCCATATCGATCAGATATAGCTAGTTCTAGCTAATGATAGGACTACCTGCTTATTAAAAGACACCTAAACAATAAGTGTCGCTATGCAACCGGGTGAGGCCACAAAGTATAGCACAGCATTATGCATTTGTTTACATGTCGACCGGAACCCTGAGGCATTACCAACAGATCAACGCACAATCAACCCATACAGAACATCTCTTTCTCCACATTACGTGTTAGACATTAGAATGGACTATTCTTGTCTGTCACATACTCTTTTGTCTGTCACATAAGTGGCGCATCAGTATGCGGTATTGCGCTAAGGGGAAATTATTTTGACCGGACACTTTGACCGGAGAGATTTAGATTTGCCGGTCTTCAGCATATTTTACCGGTCGTAGTCCGGTAATTACCGGCTAACGGGAACTCTGGCGTTACCTAAACATAAGGCAATAATCAAACAAAAGATGCACATTGTATTTAAAGTATCAATATTTTTGAAATGTTTGCATTGTTTGGATCTCACAAACATATTCGTAAAAAAATTATGTTTTAATACAAAGTGCAAATCTGTGGTTTGACTTAGTTTGATTTTAGTCCATTTAAAATGTGCCCCAACCTTTCAGAGCTCATTCCACTTTATGTAACATGCATTTCAAATGTATTAAACACACTATAAAAATGCAGTATAATTGAAAGTAGAGATTGTTAGCCCAACATGGCTGCTTGTCTACTTCATGATTATAGGGAAGAGCAAATGACAGTCTGACGTTAACATGCAGTACACTCAGGCAGTTCACTCAGCATTCAGGTCTGAGGTTTAGTAAATCTGTGTCTGACTGTCTTACCGATGTGAGTATCAATCTCCACAATCTTTTCAATGCTGTTCGGCTCCATCAGCGGAGAGGTGATCCTCTTCTCCACAGCCAGACACACCCCCTCTGATGTCTGGATACCAATGGCTGTAGAGCCCAACTGGGAAAGCAAGGCAGACCAGACACTTAGGATTGTTGGATGTGACATTTGTTTTCAAGTTAAGCACCAAAAGCACACAGAAAAGTATATAAGCCACCTAAAGTGATTCAGCATGCAATACTCACCTTTATGGCTTCTATGGCATATTCAACCTGGAACAATCTTCCTTCAGGAGAGAATGTGTTCACACCTCTGTAAGACAGATATAAATTAACATTTGTAATATTTTTATAATTAGTATTATTAGTAATAATGGTTATCAGTTCGACATTGGTAGAAACCAACTTGTGCTGCCAACAAAGACATATACCGTTATTTAGCATTATGTTGTGGTTAGTGTTTAGAGGCTCCATTGCTGAAGATTAAGCGTTAAAGTTGCCCATCTTGACTATAATACTGTTTAACACAGCCTTTGAATCTTAATTGGGATTTACTGGTTGAATACAATGATTTTTTTAAAGAAATGGTATACCGAAAGTGAAAGAGAACTTGTTGCGAAGTGACTAGCTAGCTGCTAAGGTTAGCTCACTACCTGCAACAAACAGCTACCTCGTTAAAACAAGTGGATGAAAAATAAGCATGTCCAGATTTCCTGGTGCACTACACATCAACAATTGCCTGTCAAAACATCTCTTAGCAGAATTATGCACTCATAAGTTTCCTTGTTCACACATAAGCGCTCAATTAATGACAAAGCAATTTGTGTTGCACCTACCTGTCATACTCCGATCTTGTCAAAAACATGGTTCAATGTTTAGCACAGGACCTGCAAAAAGAGAAGAGGGTACTATGTGAGAGTCCAGCAATATAAAAAGTAGTGATAAAAGGTCAGGACAATTCCTTGCTCCGAGTTTGCCGTGACACTGTGTGATAGCTAGCCTAAAGTTAGCTGCGATACCGAGCAAGCATGCTAGCTAACTGACGCAGCTAATCACTCAAACTGCGCAGAAACTGCTTATTTAAGTCTAACCTCGATTTGCGGAGATTATAATAACATTTAAAAGAACATATATTGACAATTTAGCGACATCCTTTTAAATAAGTGCACTTGTTAGACTAATTTACCTCCAGTAACAAACCCTTGAATGAGTTCGCTTGTTTCAGGGGAAGCGTCTGAGGTGTAACATCCAAACGCGCCGGATGTCAACAAATCTGAAACGAAAGTTCCGCGTGTGCAGCGCTGTCTCTGAATATCCTTGGTAATCACAACATGAGGTTAAATATCTGCTTTTCAGCAAGAAGTCGAGGGTATATTGTCTGATATACAATAAATTGATACCGATATTAACTAAAACATGTGATCAATTTACATTTTGCAAAATAGGGCACGTTATAAAAACCTCACCACTGCCCTTAATATAAACTCAGATTTAAAAAGTATGGTCTTGTTTTTTCTCTTGAAATGAATCTAGAGCAGAATTAAATAATCAACAGAAAATCTGAATAAACGCTTACCTCCATTGATACAAGCCATATCATGATATTATTGGTTGTTGTCGTTATAGTGGGTAATTTTTTTAAGTACACGGCCTTCTCATCAAGCACCAGTCCCATATGGTCTAGCGGTTAGGATTCCTGGTTTTCACCCAGGCGGCCCGGGTTCGACTCCCGGTATGGGAACTACCATTTTAAGGTAAGAACAACTCGAACATTGAACAAAGTCAACTCTTCATCACAAGACGGTCAATTCTAATGTAGATTCAGTAAGTACAGTTCAGTAAGTTCCACTGCCCACATTCCTTATCTAATTGATTCAGAAATATATGGAGGACAGAACATGACAGAAGCATAAATAAATAATAAACAAATGTAAAAATAAACACGGAAATAAATGAATAAATGAATACATTAATATACTAATACATAAATGTAGAAATACATGTGGAAATAAATACAGTTCTGTCCTCAATAGTAATACACCTTGCAATATTGTTACAAGGATACCCTTCGATGATATACAGTACCTGTGTAGTTATAGCATACCATCAGCCACTAAGGGTCGTCTTTGAGCTGAACAAGGCAGTGAAAACTCTACAGTCTATTGTGGATTAAGTGGGACATTGAGCTACTTAACTAGAGAAACAGGTTTACTATTGCGATATACACTGAATGTGATATGAAGGACTACAAAAGGGCCTATATTAGTTTATTTGTGGTGAGGATTGATTTACTGATGACGATTTGTCCAGCACTATTATTGTTACTAAAGAGATCAAGCATTGGTGAAATACTTATTTTTGTTTAAATACTTTAATAGCCCAGTATATACTAATAATAACAAATTATTATCATTATTATAATAACAAATAATAATAAATATAATATGTATAATTATACTTCGAAAATACAGAGAACTGACATTTACAATAACTAAGTATTTTCTGGCATTATTTGAAGTTCTTGCTCATAAATCTAGACTATATGTTTGAGTTACTTTTGTAAATGAAATTCTGTGAGGCGAGGGGATGTACATGCAGGCCGGTGTCGGGTTTCATTTCCCGGGTGGGATCAGTTGAGTTTGGTCTTGTTTTGGTTCTGTGTGGAAGTCTAAACGCGGTGCTGTCTGGTTCTTGTTCAAACACTGAAATCTGCTCAAGCCTCAAGCCCTGCTGCTGCTGCTGCTGCTGCGGATGGATACAGGTTGCATGTTTGCTTACCCTCAGGCTCGCCTGCCAGGTGCACATCCATAACATTTCTCTACACCATTACAGCAGTCAACATGAAGCCCGAGAGGGAGGACATCATTTTTCAGGCTCTCCTCTTGATCCACAGTAAGTAAACTAGAGTTTGGAGAGTATAGCATTGTTTTACGTCCCAGTTGTGTGCATCCAAGAGTATGCATTCTAAACTTGTCATTATTGTTTTTAAATGGTTGCCAGTACTTGAATGGATTACATTTAGAGTGTTTTGTTTTTTCCCCATATTTTCTTCCATGCTGCATATTTAAAGACTTTGAAATCACCAAGAAAAACCAAGAAAACACATCATTGGTTGACCTTTAGAAACAGAATATTTTGAGTAGTTTGAGATGAATAGGAAAGCCAGCCCTGACCTGATGATTTCCTTCTGTCCACCTCCTGCTTCAAGCACATTCCTGTCAGATGAGTTTTACTGACTCGGGGTCCAAAAACACTTTTAGTCTACTGCACATTATAATCATAAGCTTCAAGAGTGCTTTGAACTATTGTTTTCATTAAGGTATATTTCGGTTTTTTTAAGCCTCAGTTGATTGGCACTTGATCTCATGTGCAGACCCTGAATGATTTCATTAATTGAACCACCATGAGTTGAGTCTGCATTAAGAAAGCCTTTCAACATGCAAGAGTTTAACATTTTAACACAATATGCAGTGGCAGTCTGGCATCGTCTGTTCATTTGTACGTTCACTACCTCTGTTTCTATTTCAGTCCCTGTTGCCTGCCTCTTCACTGCAGGTATGTGTTTCTGTGTGTGCAGTTGAGATTCATATAATGCATTTGTATTCAGGGACTTAGTGTGTAAACACCCCCCCCCTCTCTCTCTCTCTAGTGTCAGGTCAGTCTGGCAGCAGCAGCAGTGTGGTGGTGGCAGGGTACAATGTGAGCGCCCCCGCTGGGTCCAAAGTGCTGCTACAGTGTGTGAGCGGCCGCATGGTGTGGACCAGAGACCAGCTGAAGGACAGGCAGAGGGTGGTGCACTGGGACATGTACCGGGCCCGGCCAGACTACGCCATGGAGAGGGTGCTGGACATGTACTCTGCGGGGGAACAGAGGATCTACAACTCCTACAACCAGGGCCGGGTGGGCCTCAGCCACAGAGCCTTCAGGGATGGGAACTTCTCCCTGGTCATCAAAGGTCACTCTCTTTCACTCTCATGTCTGTAGCTGCTGGAGAATTGGTCTCACCATGTGACGGTCATTATTACTTTGTCGGTCTGATTCATTTCAGCTCAACTTTAATGTCACAAGTCATAAACACAACTGCTCTCTTAACCCTTAGATGCATAAGTGGGTATTTTTTGACCCGGTGAGGTGGTTTTCTTGAAGTATCTTTGTAATTACATTTTTTTATCATTTCATATTCCAGCTATTCCTCAAAAAACATGTTTTGGATATCATGCCATTCTAATTTTAAATTTAAATTTTAAGAAATTGTAGTTTTTGTATTACCCCAAGCTTCCATAAGTGGGTAAAAAATGACCCGTATGCATTTTCTATGGAATCCTATGGGGAAACGTTTTTTTTCAAAATGTAATTTTTTTTTCTAAAATTATAAATAGTGAAAAATTAAATATAAAATATTTCTAGTGTGAACCAAAATATAATACTAAATATTATACAAGGGATCTTTCTTAACCAAAATGGCATCAAAACACATTATTCTAATACGGGTCCTTTTTGACCCACTTATGGAAGAGTGTAGGGTCCAGTCACTCGTGCATCAAAGGGTTAAGTGGACTAAATACACCCAGATTTAGGGTCAATGTACACTTACCCTCAAGTCTGCCATCAATTTTGGTTCAAACCAGTAGGGAAAAAGGTGAAATACTAGAAAATAATTATTTAGACATGTTATTCATATTCGACCATAAAATTGTCTTAATTTATGTATTTGTTTGTTAAAGTTACATTTCCCAATAGAGAAATAAGTCAGTTAAGTTTTCAGCAGAAGTTGTTAATCAGATCCTGATGCATCCCATCTCAGGAGATTTTTAGTTGGAAATCTTAGTTTGAAATCTTGTCTTAACACTCATTTTACAAAAACAATTGTTTATTTCTGTGTGGTTAGCAGAGGTGGTCTTTGTGTCATAAAACATGTGGCAGAAACCTGCTGTTTTTGAAAATTGCACTCAAATGCTTGAGGGAACATTGCAACGTCCACATACAGCAAAACTGAGTTGCTTGTTTAGTGATTATTTTCTTAACATCTGTGCTTGCTTCTTGTACTTCTGCCATTTATTTTCAAGCAGCTGAAAGAGAAATTGGATGCAATGCAAAGCATACAAGATTCATGAACTCATGAACTACAGAATGGCGTTTTCTAGTATTTTACAGTAAGTAAATACATAACAAATATATTCTGTGTTTTTGCATCCATAGACGTGACGATGAATGACAGAGGTCTGTACTCCTGCAACCTCCACCATCTCTACTGCCACCTGTACGAGACAATCATGGTGCAGCTTAACGTCACCAAATCACGTGAGTATCACGCAGCACTTCAATCTTCAATGCTGCAGACTCAAAGCTGACTCAGTTTGTCTTTTGTTGCACATAAAGGTCGTAAAGAGCAGCGTTTCTGGGATGGACACAAGGCGGTGTATGTGGTGCTGCTCGGCAATACCGCGGTGCTGCCGTGCATCAACCGCCGCAATGTGTGGACAGACTGGAGTGATGAGGAGGAGGACCAGCAGGTGAGTGAAGTGCATGAGTTTGTTTGTATCAGTCTCATTCTAGATTTACTTTTAATATAAAGGGATCATGTGGTATTTCGTAAAATACGCAACCTCTCTTACCTCTGTGGCCTCCAGGTTGTCCACTGGGACCGTCAGTCCCCAGGGGTCCGCCACGACCGGGCCGACCGCCTGGTGGATCTGTACGCCTCTGGAGAGCAGCGCAATTACGGACCGCTATTCCTCCAGAGGAAGATGAACATCAGCAGTCAGGCATTCTCAGAGGGAGACTTTTCCCTTTCCATAACTAATCTGCGGGTGTGTAAAAGGAGAGTTTTTAACAGTAAACACAGGAGCCCTTTAGTTTCAGTACATACAGTAAAGAAATATCATATGGCAAGAGGTACACTTCCCACTGGAGTAGTGTTACTGTGTGTGTGTGTGTGTGTGTGTGTGTGTGTGTGTGTGTGTGTGTGTGTGTGTGTGTGTGTGTGTGTGTGTGTGTGTGTGTGTGTGTGTGTGTGTGTGTGTGTGTGTGTGTGTGTGTGTGTGTAAACAGTGTTTCACAACACATGGAACCTCCATTAGTAATTCAGCTCTTAACAACTCTGTTGGGAAAATGAGGCAGTAACAGTACGTTGAGCAACTACATTCATGCTTTAAGACAATAACAATAGTAACATACCGAACAATTTAAGATATGCCAAAAAGTACTTCCCAACAGTCCACTTTGTGTCGTTTGTAATTATAGCAAAGAAAAGTTGACAGTCACGTCTTTGGATTGTCAGGGTCCTGGTGTTTTCTGATATTGCTCATAGATCAGAACATGGGCTCGGTGTGGCTCACACTGTGGACGAGACCAGCTTTCCAGTCAGCTTCAGGCAACACTCAGCTGAGTGTCACACCATGTCTGTTGTTGTTTCATGTTTGAAGACATAAAGTATGTATAATTAGCTCTTATGTAACACACACACTTTTACCCTGGCAAGACAGCAATAGATAATTTCTTAGTTTTTATGGATACCATTAAATAGTGATTGCTTAACTCAATGATGAGCAGATTTGTAAAGCATGTTTGTCACAACACAAGCTTGTTTTACTCCATTGCCCTTTAGATGCTGGCAATGTGAAGAACTTTTCCAGGATGCTGTGTGTGAAGAGCTGCATGAAAACGTTCACGTACATGAATTATTTTTCAGATTTAAATATTATTACATACAATTATTATTATATATAATCAGATTTGATAGAATAATTCTGATTGTGTGCACATCCAAAACAATCTATTCTGGTGTTGTTGTTGATAACATTTGGATCACATATTATTTTATATGAAGGCACATTCAGTATAATATGTGTGCATGTGTTTTTGTCTATGTGTATTCAACAGCCCACAGACCAGGGCATGTATTCCTGCCATCTCCACCACCATTACTGTGGTCTGCACGAGAGAAGAGAGTTTCAGGTCACAGTGGAAGCACCAGTGATTCAGGCCACCCTGCCAGCCAAAGCACTACCCAGTGAAGACAAAGGTAACACACACACACACACACACACACACACACCACACACACACACACACACACACACACACACACACACACACACACACACACACACACACACACACTCACACACACACACACACACATAGAAGTGCCTAAATCGAGGGGATGTTTTATGACTTAGTGGATGTGAACTATCATGTGTACAATTAGGATAAAGAAACACATCTGTTCTTTCCCTCACTTCCCCCTCTGTGCTTTCTCGTTTTGTCTGCATTTATCCTTGCTATGTATGTGCAGCCTCAGAGTAAAGAAACATTAGAGGAGAAGGGGGAGAAAAGCCCTCTCTTCTGAACTCTTCTGTTTGTTTCATGAGAGATTTCCATCTTGCAATGTCAGCTTGTCTGACGCCAGGCCCCTGAAACCACTCACACTCCCTCATCGCCTCGCACCTTCTTCTCACCCCTGCTCTCCACTTTTTCAATATTATACTGCAACTCAACAGACATCTTTTATTGCTTTTCTCTCGCTGCTCAGAGTGGTTTGTTTTTTCCATTATCCATTTTCCTTCCGGCTTGTTCCTTTCCGAATTGTTAAGTTCCCATTTCTCTGTGCTTGGACCTGCCGTTCTCTGAGTGCGTTTCAGAAAGAAGAAAGGAAAGCGAGAAGAAGAGAGGATTGGCACGTTGGCATGCCAGCTTCTTACCTCAAATTCTTGCAGAATGAGAGAGTTTTTTGTGTGTCTGTGTTTCCAGTTGGTTACTGAAGCAAAGCCCATAACGGCAGATGCATCAATGTGGGAAAATCATTGAGAGGGGTTTAGAAATGAAATGAGAAATGCCTGTGGTGAAGTGTGTGTGTGTGTGTGTGTGTGTGTGTGTATGTGTGGTGTGTGTGTGTGTGTGTGTGTGTGTGTGTGTGTGTGTGTGTGTGTGTGTGTGGTGTGTGTGTGTGTGGTGTGTGTGTGTGTGTGTGTGTGTGTGTGTGTGTGTGTGTGTGTGTGTGTGTGTGTGTGTGTGTGTGTGTGTGTGTGTGATAGCGTGCCATCTCTGATCTCATTTCGGTGGAATCTCTCGGATACAGTGTAAAGACTGTATCTGAAGGTCCCACACAATTAATCCTTCACTTACTCCCGAGCTGTAGTGATGCAGTCATTCTATTGGTTAAAAACAAGATGCATACATGATGTATCTCCAGTGTAAGAGTGTGTTTGCAGTTTATTTACTTAAGTCTACTTCAGTATTCTATCTTCTTATCTGCTCCTGGTTGCCCTCTCTGACTGTCTGCTGCCTTGTTGGCTTTGGCTCAGTTTCAATCTTCCCTCTGTCCAGCTTTCTGTCCGCTTTTAGCTTCCAGGATCCCACATGCTCAGCTTGTTTATTTTCATCCCGCTTCTTTTTTTCATCTCTTTTCTCACTATCTTTTCACCTTTCTTTATTAATAAAAAATAACTGTTTTCTGTAGTTTTTGGACCAGAACAAGAAGTTTGATTCATCTGGGCGGCAGCTGGCAACCCAAACAGACTGAGCCAGAGAGGGATGAGGTTTTGTAGATAGAAGGAGCTACACAAAGAGAGACTGAAGGACACTTTGTTGATGAAATAGTGGAGAGCAGATGTAGGTCACCCCTCCCTCCCTCCCATCAGAGTTATTTGTCTGTGGAGATTGAGCAAGGAGTAGACAGGGCAACAAGTCCAAACAAAAACAGACATGTTCACATCCGAGCACGAGTCAGCGTCTAATGGCTTTAAACCAAACAAAAGGATCAGGGGATTTGTAGTAAGCCTCGAAAATGACATTCCCAGAACAAATGACCATATCTTCCCTTCTAAAAGGGTTACATTAATAATCTTTTTTCTCAAAGTAAGGTTACATCTGTGAGTTGGATGTAGAAGTGTCAGAATAAATATAGATGTTTTTATTTTAAAATAAATTCAGATTGAACACAGTAAAAAAATGTAAATTATTGTGTCCGTCCAAAAAACAAGAAATACTTATAGTGAAAACCACCCTTGAATGATGGGATGGTAGACTAAAAGCTTTAGGAATCCAAACTACAACATATAATAAGTACCCTGTATCAAGATTGATGCAAACCTTTTTAGAGAGATTTAGCACCAAAAAAACACTTCTGGAGTCATTTGGGTGGATTTTCCATATCTCTCGATTTTGCTGATTGACATCTCTTTCTAACCGTCAGAGCCAATGGAATCGAGGGGAACTCCCACATACTCCTTATTTGGTAATGTGTGTGTATGAGACTTCCACATACTAGCCAAGACCGGAAGCTGCGATAACTCTGGTGGCTACCATTAGCAGCTAACTTTTACTCTCCGATTTTTACATAAAAATTGAATTATGGATTATAAATAAAAAAAATGATTACCCAGAAACATTATCAACCTATGGATTAACCGATTCAGCCGTGGTTTTTTTCCGTTTTAATGCCATTGAACCAGTCTTTTGATCAGATTGACAGCTACGTGAGACGATCTCCCGTAAAAGCTCCGTAAAGGTACGTGTTGTGATGTCTGTGTTTGCTTCCCCTGTCAAGAGTTCGGATCGCTCAGTGATGATACTATACCTAAATAATCTGTGGAACCTCAGCTTTAATCGGATATCTTGTATGTGCAGCTACGATAAGTAATAAGGGTATCTTTCATCTTGAGTTCTGTGCCAAAGCGCGTTAGCATTTTTCGCTCAGGGGATCATTTAGATGCTTCTTATGAGACTTGTGTTTTGTTTTGGTAAAAATGGTTTGTATCGTCAGTTAGCTGAGATTATTCCCGTTAATCTGGTATAACACATTAATAGGTTCTTAAATATTAAGATCCCCTGAGACACAGTGTCGTGAAAAAAAAAGAAAAAAGTACCCGCCGGCGGGGACCTTGGGGCTTAACAGTTTGAACATTTTGTTTTCATGTACTTTGCAGAACAGCCGTGTATAAAGCGTGTTAAATTTGTGTTTTTGGGATCAAGGTCTTTTCTAGCTTAATTTTTCAAAGCAAACCTCTGGAGAAACATCTTGCTGTCCGTTTCCGCCCCCTTGGCTCTCCTCTGTTCCACTCTGCTCTGTCCTTCCTTCACTCCTCTTCCTCTCCTCTATTTTCTGTGTTTTACTGCCAGGAAAAGTAAATCACAGCATGACTTTCTGTCTGGATCTCATTTTGGCTTAAATGTGTCGAGTCTGAGGTCCACAGCTGCTTTTTGCCATGCAGTTTTTTCAATAAAGCAAAACTGAAAGCAGCCCCCTAAACCCCCAACCCCATCATGCATCTCAACACTCAGAAGTAACGCACATATCACCTATCACAAAGGTTACGTGGCATCACACACATGCAGCCACAGCACACAGTGACATTTTTCTTTGTTGGGCTTGAAATCTCCTAGCATTACATGTAGTGTGCCACTGCAAACACACATTAAACTTAAACCGAATATTCCCTTGGGAAAAAAGTCAAGATGAATTTAAATTCAACAGTCCAGTCTTTTGGTGTGCAAAAAAGAGGTTATGATATAGCCTACTAAGTGACAGTTGTTCTGTCATGATTACCAAACAGCTATTTATTTCATACATACAAAATAATCACAATTTCTTCCTTAAATTATTTCCTTGAATATATAATACTTATTTAGCCCTGTAGTAATCCACTATATCACAAAAACGTACTTATTCACATCATTGCTAGCTTCTATGTGCGGCTATACTTCTTAACACTGGAGCTAAACATGAGCATGCATCTGATTAGCTCTCAATAAACAAATATCTTACACCTGATGCTAGATCAAGGGATGACCAAAGTCGTTTCAGTTCATCCAAAGGAGGATATGAATGTGTGCCAAATTGTATGACAACCCATCGAAAGGATGTTGAGACATTTTAACTCCAACGCTAAAGCATTATGGTTGTTCTTGAGGAAAATGAGAGTAATTAGAAATGTATCAATAGGGCCATCTTGACCATCTTGACATAAGATGGTAACTGTTGTGACTGTAAAAGATAATTGAAAGGTAAATGGAAGTTCTGTGTTACTCATTTATGTTCTATGTAAAGTCTGGTGTTGTTTATACCATTTGTAAACCCTAAATGGTGACTGTTGTGATCTCTGCACTACTCAGACACCACTAAGGCTGAATCACCGCGAGTCATCAATGTTATCCTGCCCGACCAGAGACACCACTTTCTGATGCCGCTGGGCTACGTCCTCACCTCCTTCCTGCTCCTGGCCTTCATTATACTCATCATCATCCTCATCACACGCAGACGTAAAACCAAAGGTATGACCTGCTGTATCTTAGTGAGACTGTAGATTTACATTGAAATAACATTTCTAAATCTCATTTTATCTTCTTTGGTTTCAGAGTTTCACCCTCAACCATCTATGAGGTGAGAACTCAGAAAACACACTCACATAATGACTGTCTAACCATTTTTGATTTAACACACTCAATTGTCTATATCATACTGTGATAGGTCCAGCAGAAGTGAGAGCAGCTCAGAAGAGTTTGAGATGGACATTGCTGATGGCAATGTGAGCAGTCTGGAGCCTGAAGGAGAGAAACGACTTGGTAAGGATTAAGGAAAGATGAAGAAAGCGGCTTTTGTCTGGAGTGTGTGTGTTTTGACTCTCATGTGTGATTTTAGACTTCAAGAACAACCTGCTGAAAGAGAAGGTCCACACTAGCACTCAGCCTAAAGTAATTGATCTTGACAAAGGTAACACAAAATCAAAGTCAGATTAATGAAAAACAAATGTCTCATTTTCAATCTTCCTTAACTTTGAATTTTTCTACACTTCTTTGCAGAGATGCAGAAATTCTCTAAGTGAGGAAGAGACAAATAGATGGCGAAACTTGAGTCACTGGCTGGTCCAGGAAGCTGCACTCCAAATTAAACACATCCACGTGCCTTATGTCCAGGCAAAGACAGCAGGAGACACAATGTTGTGAAATGTAGAAAAATATGTTTGTTAAAAACACCACATTGAGGCCGTTTGTTGTTTTAATTGTAAGTATTAGAGACCAAGGAAAATGTGTTACGTTTCTTTCATTGTACTTGATCAAGTCTGGACTTGGACCGTTGGCGCTACCTAGAGGGGACTTGTTAACAGTGCCGTGTTAAAGTAGCAATGTGTGCACAGCGCACGTTAACCCTTAGATGCATAAGTGGGTCTTTTTTGACCCGGTGAGGTGGTTTTCTTGAAGTGTCTTTGTAATTACATTTTTTTTATCATTTCATATTCCAGCTATTCCTCAAAAAACATGTTTTGGATATCATGCCATTCAAATGTTTTATTTACATTTTAAGAAATTGTAGTTTATATGCATTTCCTATGGGGAAACGTTTTTTTTTCAAAATGTAATTTTTTTTTCTAAAATTATAAATAGTAAAATAATTAAATGTGAACCAAAATATAATTCTAAATATGATACAAGTGATTTTTCTTAACCAAAATGACAAAAATGGCATAAAAACACATTATTGTAATACGGGTCCTTTTTGACCCACTTATGGAAGAGTGTGGTCAAGTCACTCGTGCATCTAAGGGTTGAATAAAGTTTTAATTGAGTACATTTTCATTTGATACCGCTTCCATGATTATACCTAAAGCGTAAGTAAATACCGTTTTTCTTCTATTTTTACTCACATATCCATCTTTGCTTAACTGACTGGACTGATACGTCACCGAAGCTCTACTTTATGTGTAGCTCCTGCTTCCTGCTTTATGCTCACTGACCAATGAGCAGTGTATGTAGAAAATGTTTTGTTCTGATGCTCAGATTGTATTTTTTACGTAATGTTACTTTTTACATGTATTTACAATTCAATGTGTGATGCTGATTTTAAATGATGTGGGTATTCATGATTGGTTTAAGGAGTTAACTTGGCTCTTTGAGTTCAATGGACGTTTGGTAATGGGTTAGGAAAAGCAGTGTTAATAATATTAACAAAAGCTCTGCTCTATTCAAGTATTTCATAACAGTGAGCCAGCATGCACAATAAATGGAGTCATCATTCTTTTACTATTTACATCTGTGCTTGTTTTACTGTGTCAAATGAAGGGCAATGTAATACTTAGTGGTTCCACAACTGAATTTCAGCCCCTTCTTTAGAATTGGAGAAAAATATATTTTGGAACATGCCTTTGTCTGAGTGTTCCAACAAAGGAATGAAGTGCATCTTTATATAATATAGTCATCTATAAATATGGAACAACACTAGCAGTCAGAAAGCAAGTCCATGGGCTGCTTTTGGAAAGAGTAAAAATACCAGAAACAAAAACAACAAACAGATGAGGCTTTGTTATTTTAGTTGAATGTTTTATTCAAGCAAAAGGCATTTAGGGAGAGTATGGCACAAATGTACTCAAATGACTGGTGTAGACAGGAGAGGATGGTGACCACACATCTGTGATAAAAACCAGGACTGTTTCAGCTTGTCAAAATACTTCACAATTTCCTTAATAGTTTTATCACTCCAAAAAATGAGCCCATCTTTATTAATTTGAGTGACCATAGTATCAACAATGCACCGTGAAAGCAAAATAACCACTATGTCTTAAAAACTACAGGAAATGCAACTTCAACAGTCCTTGCAGTAATGCAATTCATGAGTGAATATTAAAATGCATGTATTTGAATATGAAGAAGACAGCAGCAGGGAAGGCAATCATCCAGTGTGCCAAGTCTATCTCTACACTCAAACACGCACGATGCTCAGCAGCCGTGAACCCAGAGACAACAAACACCTACAGCCTCCCTAAGATTAGTTTTAAAAAAAAGCTATTGTTAGAGGCATAATAAAACTAAAATATCACACGTGAGAAGAACTCTGCCTTGATCAGGTGGAATAAAGGCCAGTGTGACTAAACAGAAGACTTAATTACAACGTTAATTAGCTCAGCTAGAAAAGCAAGCAGCACGTTTGTACAGTTGGAGCATTGAGAAGGCACTACTAGTTTACTCACTGCGCTATGATCAGTGAGGCAAGGCTGTATTTTGGCTGTTCTCCATTGGAGAAACCTATTAAGGCATCTGTCTAACACTAAATGTTCCTAAGTGTTGTGCTTGAATATATAACAAAGGCAACTTCATGGCATCTGATTGATACCATTTGCAACTCTTAAACCAGTGTAGTACTTTTTAACTTCATGGCATGGTCTCTTTCCAAGCCGTGAGTCTTAACATATAGGCACTTATCTTAACGCAAGCTCATACTAGTTCATTGTTACCGAGTCCTTTGTGAAAGGAAGATGGACAGCTATGATCAGGTGGTTCAACAGTGTTACTGGTTAGCTTATCTGTTGTCGGGTGACCAATGAAATTCCTCTTTATTCAATCCAGAATCAAACGTCTTACACATAGAAATGTTTTAACAGTTAACCATGTGCATAAATAAAATAAGGCAAACTCATCCCATCATTCCCAGGTTGCCTGAGACATCTAACTATAATGGAAGGAGTTTCTGTCTGAATGTCTGTCCTTCAACTTTCTCAACAACCGTTCATACAATTGACTTCACACTTGGAAGGTATATTGCTGGGGACACAAGGGAATGATTATATTAGTGGTGTAATGTACACACTGTGTAGTGTTTGAAACAGCATGCTATCTATTTTCATCCATATTTGTGTGAACATTTGCAGCTAAATGAAGTGTTTACTCGAGCATTGCTAGGGGATGAAAGGGTATCACGGAGGGTGTGTTGCCCAGGAGCGTACGCCACACAGAGATGAGTGTGAAGTTTTTTGAATGAGCGTTTCTTGAGAATGATGAAAGCAGCAATACCAGAGACCAAGCTATCGGCACGTTTAGAAGAGGCACAGCACTAATTCAAAAGTGACAGTATAGTACAATTCTTTGTCTAAAAATTAGGAGAAGATTGGAAATGTTGGCATCTGAAAAGTACAAATGTGTATGTGTTTGAGAGGGATCATATATTCAATGATACGCAGGGTTACAATACAAACCGACACACAGAACAGTATATCCTCAAAGGCACTTCTCTTAGTCTGGCACACACACAAATCAATGGCTATTAATCAAACATAAAAAAGTAAATATAACTTGAGGAGAGTTTACAATCGCAATTTTCAATTCTAGTCCTGAGTTTGAAGTATGTGTGTGTGCTTTTGTATACGTTTGAAGATTGTTTATCTTTATTTTTTTTCATAGGTTCATGCAGTTCAAGTTGAATGATTGACCTTTTTCTATATATATATGTTTCTGTTTTCTTTGGCAAGTGGCAAAGAATTCCATTAGAAGTGTAAAGATGTCTGGTATGTCGTAGTAATGCAGGGTTAAACTCTGGTATGGTGACATTCACTTACTCAGGCACATTTGCAAACACACACACCCCTACCCACTCACTCACTCACACACACACACTGAGGGCAAACCAGGACAAGGAACGAAGACCTCCTGCCAGGAGAAAACTGTGGAGCTCAGTTGCCAGTAATGGCATGTTGTCTTCCTCTGAGAGATTAAATATGAACGTTGCTCCTCTCCTCTTCTTCATTGTATTCTCCACTCCTCCTCCTGTTGTCGTTTTTGTTGTGATTTTAGGAGTAATTCCAAACTGTGAATGAAGGAGGTAAAGGATTTCAGATGAAAGACTTGGAAGAGGATATGTTTATTAACCAAGGAATGTAATGGCAGAAACAACAAAAGGATGTAGTATATGTATATATCTACACACTTTTAATAGATTTCAATATCAACAACCCAGATCCAACTAAATTCTTAGTAGAGTAATTACAACTCTGGCAACTCATTGGAAATCACAGCGATTAAATGATAAAAACTGTAACAACCCTGGCGAAGAACATTACCACAGGTTTGATACTCACTAATAATGATGATGATGATGATCACTATGACAGCTATCAGGATGGCCCACATCTGCAAGAGGTAAGGGTTCAGCCTAGTCAGTGCCACACACATGAACTGGGATTAAGATGTCTATTCATTTGCAGATTAAATAACAATCGAACTTTCCTTTAACAATATTATTTTAATTTAATTATTTTGTGTGTGAAATTGAGCATGAATACTTTTGTATCTGGCAAAACAGAAAACATTGTAATTCCATTTGTTTGTTTTATCACTAAACTGTGTCTAGGCACCTTGCAGTTCTTCCACCAGTACTTCCTCTTCAGCTTGGCAGCACTGGTTTCAAACTGGGAGGCTCCGGCCTGCAGGGCGTCGGCTCTGTCGTCCAGTTCAGACAGCTTCTGGTCCCGCTCCAACACTTTGTCCACATTGACACGCATAATATCCACCACCTACACACACGGAGAGAAACAAGAACAAAACAATTGATATCAGTACTTTTTATAATGTCTCTTGGTGTAATTGATGTGGATGTAGGGTGATCCTGACTAGACACCATTAAAGATTGACCAAACACTGATTCACCTTGTTATTTTACAATTATAAGAATATATTCCAAGTGCATCCTAAGCAGAATGGCGACATTATTGCTGTAAGTGATGAGTAACCTCTGAATCCACAAATCAAGATAAACAACACATTACCGTAAAAGGTTAAAAAAAAAATTAAAAACCTTCTGCTAAATAAAATAATATGCCTAATAAAAATAAATAAACAAAGCCAGGCAGATGTGAATGTACACACACAAACAGTCTTGCTGACTACACATAACCCAAATGTTCCACTGATCCACAAACCTCACAACTGCCCCTCCTTTCAGACAGAGAGGCGGGGCGGAGAGAAGTGTGTTTGGCCATGCGGGTGTTGCGTAACCGTGGCATGTGAAGGCGGAGTGGCAGAGAGCACTGATTACAAATTGTGATGATTCATAACGCCGTTGCCAAGGGTTATGCAAGTATCCAGACAGACATTATGGAAGATGGCAGTTACATAGCGGCTGAAGATGGAGAGGGGGGGGGGGGGGGGGCAGTTGTTCAATAATAACAGTTGGCTAGGTGAGAAGAATGACGCACACTGGGAAAGGCAGACTGTGTAGAACTGCCTCTGATGTGTCCCAAGGCTCTATAGGTAACATTTGGTTCTATCTGACATCGTGAATCTGAAATTGAAAATCTCTAATTTGGAAGAGTAACATGGTCTCTGATGTTTGAGCTTTCCTTCAAAAATAATAAACTGTAATCAAGAATTTGCGCATAACTAATAATACAACATACTTAAATTGAAACTATTTGGCATTATCATCCTTAACAACCAGTGTTCAAATGTAATAGTGGAGCTTTAACTGGATCTGGTATACCAGCAATCAGAGATGTCTCATACCTCGTCCACCTGGGCCTGGGTCTGATGTAGGCGCCTGTTGCCTGGCGCGGCGCCAGCACCATCCGGACCGGCTGCTGACCTGATGAGATGAGGACAAATTAAGAGTAGATATTAGCCTTATGGATTTTACAGAATTAAAAATGCATTAAACTGTTCAGGCACATACGGATAACAGCAGGTGATAAGTGAAGCAAACAGCCCAACCATAATTGCAAAAAATCATTCTTATCCAAAGTCTCTAGGCTATATCTAGACAACATGTGACTTATATCATTTCTGAATCAGTCAAATTCATTTAAAATATTGTACAATTGTAGGTAAATGAACTGATATCACTTTTGTTGTTAATTTATAATTCAATGTATTTACAGGCCGTTTCTCAATGTCGAGTAAACCTGCTGCAGAGCCACTATTTCAAGTATACTACGTCATCGAGTGGCGCCGAAGGACAGTTTAAATGCATGTTAAATGCCCAGCATTCGGCGCCACTCGATGACGTAGTATACTTGAAATAGTGGCTCTGCAGCATGTGTACTCGACATTGAGAAACGGCCACAGTCTAATGTTCAAAGCACCATGATGGAGTCTGCCACACTGTAAAGGCCTTTTTTTAAGGTTGGTGGTTTAATACTGCCCCCCTCTGACATGAGTCAGCACTGCTCTGCAATAATGACACTTCTCTTGAAAACAATAGGAAACTTGAAGCGGAAAGATCGTTTCGAGGTGATCACACCAAACTGTAGAGCGTACACAGGATGT